AGAGAGAGAGAGAGAGAGAGAGAGAGAGAGAGAGAGGGAAAGTGAGAAAGCAAGTCACCAGGTCCAGGAATGGAACCCTGGGTGGCCATGTGGGAATATTCAGCGCCTTAACCATCACGCCACCTGCTGGTCCTTTTTTTTTTTTTTTTTTTTTTTTTTTTTAAGAATTATACCCAGTGTGATTTTCAAGCTGCTGGATCAGGGACTTGAACAGCACAATCGGCCATGTGGGATACAGCCATCTTTTTTTGTTTGTTTCAGACATTTTTGTATAGGGCACATGCACTCACCAGAGAGACACAAAGTGAGAAATCAACCCCTGGGGCGACAGCCATGCCACAATCCCTTCTTCATTCTCCTCTTGGGATTTGGGCCATGCATACACACGTGTGCCTGGCGTGAGTTTCCAGTTGCCGAGGGGTCCAGCGCCTTAACTACCACGCCACCTGCTGGCCCCACGGTGCCATTCTCCTGACTCCCTCACATGTGCATGGACCAAGGGAAACCCCATTAATGTGGAAGGATGTGTGAGGGGCGCGAGGGACCTTCTTAGTCACATTCCACTTCTGTACTCTTGGAGTCGGGGAAGTCTGGCCTCGTAATGATTTTCCCTGGTTACCCTCTGCTAATTCCAGTTACAAACTACTGCTGGCTGATTTCTCTCTGCCACAGCCACAGATTTCGGTACTGAGGTGGGTTTTCAGCACCCTTACCAGCCTTCCCATGTTCTGAACTCTGCCGAGTCCTCGCATTCTCACCTCAGCCCCAGGCATTTTTTAATGATTTACTCTTTCCAGTTCTCTGGGTCCATTAGACCCAGATGCAGAGAGTCCAGGTCAAGTGGACAGTAGAGGAAAAAGCCAATACTGAGTTGATTTTTATCACACAGAAACTTAGATATAGATTATTTTGGACTCTGTAGGCATGAAAAAGCAGAGATCCCACACCCCTATGACAGATATGAATATTCTGGATTTCTCGCAACTCCAGCGGATTCTACCCACCTTCTCTTTCTCCTTCTTCTTCCTTTTCTTCTCCTTCAGCTCCTGTGCCTGCTGCCATTCATATGTCACTTCAACATCTTCGATCTCAATTAAAATTAGATTGCCTCTGGTCTGTCAGAATCAAATGGAAAACGTAGATAAGGGGAAGTCGCTGCTTCTCTTTACCGCTGTGCCTGAAGGCACTCACGGCTTTCGCAGTCCTTCCTTTCCCAAGACCGGAGAGGTCCAGGAAATACCACCACCACCAGGCCACCATGTCTCTTACGCAAAATTTAATCCCCATGGCCTGTCTCTACATGGTTCATTAGCCCCGACGTTTCTGCTCCCCAAGGCTTGGCATGAGTGACCTGAATGAGGGGGAGAGTCATGGATTCATAATGGCATTATGACACGAAGTTTAGGCTGTCTGCCACGGAGATGGGTCTGCCCAGGAGGAAGCTCCGAGAACTCCCGCCAGCCTGTTTCCCTGCTGTCAGAGCCGCGCCAGAGCCCGCCGTGGAAAGATGGAGCACGTGAGCGGTGGTCTCTCCTGTCACGTCCCTCCACAGGCCCTTCTCGGCAGTCACAGAGCAGAGGAGGGACCATGGCCGTTCATGCCCACACACCCCTCCAGTGTCTTCTCAGACTTAGCCCTTCTGTCTTCCCTCCATTCAGGTGTCAGAACTTCACTGCGCCCTAGGAGATGAGAACACAGACCAGATGAATCTAGAAAGCAGTAAAATAAAGAGAAAAACTTGGGTCAGCCGGGTGGCATGGTGGTTGAGGCGGCTGGATCCCACATGGCCAACAGTGTAGTTGGAATCCTGGACCCAATGACTTGAAAAACATGCCAGGCACATGTGTGTGCAGGCCCAAAATCCCAAGAGGAGAATGGAGAAGGAGGAATTGTGGCATGGCTATTCCCCTTGGTGGGGAGGGTGATTTCTCACTTTCCCCCCTCTCTGTCACACTCTGGCTAGAAGTTGTACCCTAAGCAAAAAAAAAATCTAAAAACAAGCAAACAAAACAGCATTTAAAAATGATAATAATAATAATAATAATAAGTCCACCTTAAATAAGGCACCAAGACCACGTAGATCCACACCTGAGTTTTAAGAAACTTACATATTCAGGGCCAGCCAGGTCACACAGCCATCAGTGTGATTCAGGTCTTAGATTTGGCAGCTTGAGGAACGTGCTGTGCACGTGAGCATGTGCCCCCATTCCTGAGAGGAGAATGGAGGAGAAGGGATTGCAGCATGGCCATCCCCTCTGGGGAGTGATTTCTCACTTTCCTTCTCTATCTCTGTCTCTCTCTGGTGAGTGCATATGCCCCATAGTAAAAAACTAAAAAAAAAGAAAAAAAAACTTACATATTCAAATATTTGCCATATGACTTTACTATTCAAATATACTGGAGAAGATAAAAATTTCCATCAAGCATTTCAGGGTTTGTTCGGGCCAGAGTTAGTTTTCTGAAACACCCTGTTGACATCTAAAAATAATTATTTTACTTAACTTTATTATTTACTTAACTTTATTATTAGTTATTTATTATTATTTTACTTAACTTTATTTATTTTTACCGCTATGTGGCCTCCAGCTAAGTAGGGCCCTTGTGTTACCGCTGCTCTGCCGTAGCTGGGTCTATAAATATCTCGGTATAGATTTGCCTATTTTGGATATTTCGTGTGATTGGGCCCACACAATAAGTGGCCCTTCATGCCTGCTTTCTCTAACTTAGCAGGATATTTTCAAGGTTCATTCGTGCTGAAGTTTCAGTAACTCCACCTCTCTATTCCCAGTCAGCATTCTGTGGCCTGGATATACCGCATTCTGTTTAACCATTCACTCCTTCGTGGAGGTCGGAGTTGTTTACACCTTTGGGCTATTTCAAATAAGGTCACTATAAACATTCCTGTACCAGTTTTTGTGTGGATGTATGTTTTCATTTTTCTTAGGTATATACCTAGAAGTAGAATTTCTGGATTGCACAGTAAATGATATATTTAGCTCTCTGAAGAAGAGGCGCTGTTTCCAAAGTGACTACACCGCATTATTTTACACTTCTGCTGGCTGTATACATAGATTCTCACTTCTGTGTATCATCACCAATACTTGTTATAATCTTTTTTCTTTTTTAAGAGAGAGTGCTTTAGAGACAGAGAGACAGAAAGTGAAAAATCATCCCCTCTCCCTGGTGGAGGGGGATGGCCACACCACAATCCTTTCTTCTCCATTTTCCTCTTGGGATTTTGGGCATGCACGCACATGTGCCCAGTGTGAGTTGTAAGCTGTTGGGTCCAGGACTCGAATCGCGGTCAACTATGTGGGAGTCCAGCTATGTAACCATTATGTCATCTGCTGGTCCCTATAATCTGACCTTTTACTTGTATGGATATTTACTGTGTATGGACAGCCTGCTGTGGATGGACAGGTATCTCACTGAGGTTTTTGGTTTTCATTTTTGTGATGATTAATGATGTTAAATATATTTTCATGTGCTTCTTAGCCATTTCTTTATCTTCGGAGAAATTTCTGCTTAGATTCCTTGTCAATATTTTTTTAAATTTCTCCAGAGTGTGCTTGTACTTGCCAGAGAGACAGGAAGGAAGAGAAAGAAAGGAAAAGTGAGAAGGCATCCTCCCCCATGGAGAATGGTCATGCCCCAATCCCTTCTCCTCCATTTCTCCTTCCTGTTGGAATTTTGGGTATGTGTGTGCATTTTTTTTTTTAATATACAGAGTTTTTTGCCTTAGGATGTGTGCACTTGCTTGAAAGGCAGATAGATAGAGGCAATGAGAAATCAACCCCCAAGGAGAATGGCCACGCTGCAATCCCTTCTCCATTCTCAGGATTTCAGCACACAAGCACATGTGCCCAGCGTGATTTTCAAGTCACTGGCTCTGGGACTCAAACTATCAGCCATGTGGGAGTCAGTCCAGCAAAGTAGCCACTACTCCATCTGCTGGCCCCTGGTTATGTGTTTTTTAAAATTTGTGTCTGTTTAATACATATACTAAAGTTTTTATGATGAGATAATTTTTTTTTGAGAGGTCCCCGTACTTCTCACTCTGTTCTTGCATTGGATTATCTACAGCAAAATCCCAGACCTCGAAATATTTTATTTCGGGACCAGCAGTTAGGGTAATGGCTATGTCCCTGGACTCCCATGTAGTCGACTGCGGTTTGAGTCCCGGACCTGGTAGCTTAAACTCGCGTCGGGTGCGTGTGTGTGTGTGCCCAAGATCCCGAGAGGAGAATGGAGGAGAAGGGATTGCGGCATGGCTATCCCCCCTGGGGGGTGATTTCTCGCTTTCTACCTCTCTGTCTCTCTCTGTCTCTCTGGAGAGCGCACGTGCCGTATAGCAAAAACCTCTCCCCCAAAAAAGAAGTACGGATAAAATGAGGTTGACCATGTGTTAATAATCATTGTAGCTGTGTGGGGTTATTATGCGATTCTGTCTACTAGCATGTGCCTTGACTTTAAATAAATAAACAGAAGGGGCAATAATTATAGCCCTTGTGGTTGTCAAGGGAAGAGATAGTGAAGGACTGCAAAGGGGACAGCAAGGGAGAGGGAGAGACCCAGAGGGGAGATGGGCTCGATTGCAGAGCTGAAGTCAACAGCGTTTCCTGCT